AAATAAATAATTAGCGACGGTTTGTTAAACCGTCGCTAATTTTTTGTAATTTTGCAATGCTTTCTTGTTAAACGTCACAAAAATTGGTCACACTTGACCAATTTAGAGACGATTTATAGACCGTTACTAAATTATTAACGTTGAGACCATTTAAAAAAAAAAAACCATCGCAATTATATGTTTATTAGCAATGGTTTATAGATAGTGACAAGCTCCTATCGCAAAACCTACATTTTTTGCTAGTGGCTACTACCATTAGCGACAAACGTTTTGCTATGAATTTCCATCTTTATATAGTGACAAAAATAAAACCACTTACCAACAATTTTGTAACGATTTCATATGAACTATATGATTGTTTATAACAATTAGTGATGTAACTACTTTGAAATAGGGATAAAATTGCAATCATAAATTAGTGACGGAGTTGAAAATCTATTGCTAGAAAATTTAGCGACAAGAGCCTTTAAAGGATGTTTTTTTCCTTGCAATTTTGTTGCTAAACCAAAATAGTGAAGGAAATTTTGGGTATAGCGAGGAAAATTTTGGTCGCTAAGAGCATCTCCAATGGTGCTCTCTATTTTTAGCTAGCATTTTTAATGTAAATAGAGAACACCATTAATTATATAGATTGAAGATCAATATCCTCTCTAATGCTACTCTCTACTTAACTCTTTATTTTGACAAAATCTATAAAACCCGGAGAGACTATTGGTGAAGAGGTTGAGTAGCATAGAAAATAATAATTTTCATTAATGAAATATAAGATAAAGAGTCATTTGGACTCTTTAGTATTGGAGAGTTAAACACACTCTCTATATTAATTTTAAAGATAAAGATTGTGATAAAGAGAGCATTAGAGATGAAATTTGGATCAAACCTCTTTATTATAAAGAAAAATCTTAATATAAAGAAAGCATTGAAGATACTCTAAACATAAGATGTTTTTGTAGTGTTAAGTTGAAGAAATTTCTCCAATCAGGTTTTACGATACATATAAGTGGGTGATTATTACTGCACAATATATTATGGAAGTGGCCCTGTGGTTGCTTTATGCTGCCCATCATTTTGACCTAATGAAAATAGAGTTGTAGAATTTCTTTTCCAACCAAAAGGCATCATGTGGTAGCTTTACAATAAAAATCATTAGTCATCGACTACGGATGAGGAGGAGGAAGGGTGGATGTAAGCATCTCTCTTAGTGGGTTTGCAATGAATGATGAGCTTGCAATGATTTGGATTTTGATTGAGTTAATTGTTGCAAAAATAAAAGGAAGCAGAAGAGGAACATGAAGATGAAAGAGAAAAGGCTTTTTATTTTATTTTCTTTTTAATTTAGATTTGGGGTTTTTTGTTATTTACTTTTAGTTTAAAGAAGATATCATGTATCGTTATTTTATTGGACCACATATGAAAAATATAATTGGAGTTTGGTCAACGAGAAAGCTGAGCTCCATTGCTGATAAAAGGAAAAATTTTGATATTCAAATTGAAAAAAATTAAAGGTTGGATACCCGTTTTTGTTTAACGAAAATTACATGATGATACTATAGAATTAATTAGCCTTCCAATAGTTGCATAGTTACATAAGCCATGCATGAGAAACAGGGATCGAATTATTTGATTGACAGAATAAAGGATGAAGTGAAAACGTTTTCCTTTGACAGGAGGTCTGCGAAATCTTAATTTACATTGAACATTTACGAATAGATAGAAGAGTTCTGGAGTGGAACATGAACATAGCAGTAACGAAGAACAAGGGATTTTCCCTCACTTGGACATTGAAGTACAAGTACTGCTACACCAGCTTGACACTTGAACGTTGGGAAACCTTTCCCCTACATCACAAACATATACGAAAGGTTCCCAATGTGTACGATATCTAATTACAACATTTAACAATTATTACAACATTATTCTTGGGTGTGAGCTTTTTGTCCTGAGTCACGGTTTCAAATACCCCACTTGAAGATAAACAGGAAAGATGTTAGTTAATTTCAACTTTAATTACAGCTTCACCAAATGGAGTCCAAATTGAATGGTTGCTCCTGCTGTGGCTGTGGCACTGAGTCTAAAACCTTAGAAGAAGAAGAAGCTTGGAAATTTGAACCTAAATCAGTCCCAAACTCATGAGGGATCCCATTTGTCAGAAACGAGTAATCGGTAGTCGTAGCTTCTCTTTGTTGATAACTCCTGAGCTGTAATGCCTTGAGCAGTAAGGAATTCATTGTCAGGTTTGAGCTTAGCAATCCTGAAGGCCATGAAAGTGAAGGGAGAGTTGCTGCTTCTCTTGCTGCAGCCCAATTCATATTCAAGTTCATATTTACATTGCTTTCGTTGTAATTTTGTGCTGAAATGTTGTTGAACCCACTAGATGAACTGGCAATACTATTTAGGTTTGGTAACTCAATATCTCCAAACTGATCATGGACAATTGAGTTTGTATCGCATGGGGACCCTAGAGATTGCTGAGAGGATGGTTCCTGCTGTGGTTTTTTGACTGCTGTGCTCTTCTGAAATATCCTACAAACTACCCATTCCTCCTGTGACAAAGAAACACCCAAGAAACATATTTATGTAGCCGTATAAAACACAAATAGAGCATGGACTGGTAATAAAGGTGTAAGGATTGAAATGACAAGTGTGTGCGTATATATATATATATATTACCTTTGTGGACTTGAAAGGATGCTTGTTTTCTAGCCTGTACTCATGCATAACCCAGTTACTTTTCTCACCCCTTGGGGCCCTACCCCTGTAGAACACTAGGGTTTTCTTCATTCCTACCAGCACTCCAGCACGAAAGATTTCCTTATCTTTCCCTGTGGTTTTCCAATAGCCTGCTTCAGTGGCTCTGTTGGTTCGAAGTCCGGTTGGGTATTTTCTGTCTCTCAAGCTAAAGAAGTACCATTCTTTCTCCCCCATAGATGCCTTGCCTGTACCATGCATATACATGTTAATTTAGAATCACTCCGTTTGGCTTTTCTTCTCTTCCATTGTGTAAAGAGGAACAACTGCCACAGATTTGTCTAAGTAACCAAATGCTTAATTGATAATCCAATCAAAATGTGTCTTCTGCCTTTCATTTCCTTTGTGTAAAGAGGAACAACACCAAATTTTGACTGTGCATAACTGGTACCATCGTTCGCGAAAATATCAAGTAAATCATTCAATAGCTGTTTTTTTTTTTTTTTTTTTTAATGAAATCCAGTAGTAATTGATTCAAAATTGAGAAACTAGTTAAACAAAGGGAAAAAAGGGAAACAGAGAGAGAGCGTTAGGTTTAGCATGCATATATGCATTATAGTAGTCCTTTGTAGCCGATCGATTGGCATGTCACCTCTCTTTAATGAAGCTTCAGGCTTGAATTCACAAAAAATTGTGCCAACTTATGAATAATGAATAAAAAATGGAGTGAGAATCATTGAGTTTATAATAGCTGGGAGGCATATATGCTTTAAGTTTTTTTAAATGATCATGTGACAAGAAAAGGCTATTTCTATTATGTAGTCTAAAAACTCATGAGCTTTCGAATCAAAAGGTTTCTCCATTTTAATTTTTTTTATGTAAAATAACTTTTCATAAAAAATATTTTTATCTTTTGAATATCGTAAACCATGTTTTTCTTATTTTGAATTTGTTTTCTTTTGATCATAAAATATTTTTCATTGATTAAGTTTTCCAAGATAGCCAAATATGAGAACATAAGGAAAACATTGGAGATAACATAAGAGAGATTCATTTAGAGTAAGAATTAAACATATTTGCTTGCCACATTATAGCGTTGGGCTACTATGAGAGTTTGCAAGAAAATATATATATATATTTGTAAATATATATATTAATTTGGAAGTGGATGGTCTGTTTAATACTTATCAAGATGGAATAATTAGTCTCAGTAAGCGAAAGCTAATACAAAAATATCCTTATTATTAATAAGACCCCCAAAAAAAAAAAAAAAAAAATCATATACAATGATGACACAACTTCCTGTTTTCAATGGATCGAATAGCCGGGACTTCTCTTTTCCAAGAGCAATATGGTAATCATCGTACAAGGTTTATAGTCTATCTCAATATATATACATAAATATACCATTTAGGACAAACTTTAGAGAAAATGTTACTTTTATATCTCACTATATATACAAAAATATACCATTTAGGACGAACTTCAGAGAAAATGTTACTTTTATATCTCAAGTTAATTGAAAATTGAATTCGTAAGTAATTGATTTGTTCAAAAAAGAACTGGTCAGTTAAGAAACTGAAAAAATAGAGGTAGATATCGTTACCAAATACTGTAAAAAAGATGATTTGATAATCTTTTTGGAACTTTTCCAAGGCCGACCTTTTCCTTTTCATTTCCTCATTTGGACAAAAATGGTCTCTCAATAGAATTCGTTATCCAACACCTATTTACCTAAGAAATTCCTCTAAACGATATCATGGAGATTGATCATGGCATATACGATGCTCCAAAGTCCAAAAACTTGAAACATAATTGGAGAACAGCAGTCAAAAGCAGAAAAAACCCAAAAAGAGAAAGATGTATCTATTCTAAGAAGACAGACAAGGGTGAAAACTTTCAAATTAACATGCAAGGAAATTATAATAATGCAAAGATGTACCTGGGAGATCCCAAGGTTCACACTTATTGAGATCAACATCTACAATAGCTTTGGACGTGAAGCTGATATCAGAAACCTTGCGTGTTAGATAGCATGTAATGAGCTCATCATCTGTTGGATGGAACCTGAATCCAGGAGGAAGACTTTCCTCCATTTTCAATTCTGATACTGGTAGGATCTAAAAGAAGACAAGACAATAGTGCTCAAAACCCCAGAGAGTACGGATGATGCTTGCAAACAAAGCCTTATAACATCAGCAAGAAGAGCAAGAAAGGGGAGTTAGTCCACTTATAAATCATCCTTCAAGGAGAAGCACCAATGGGCTGTCCATTTTTTAATCTTGATAATTACAGCTAACACTTTGACAAAGATGGTGCATGGAAATCTTGATTTTCTTACGATGACTAATTCTCCGAAATACCACGGACTCGAAACATGGTTTGCCACAATTGTCACTAGGGTTTTAAGGATATTACAAAAATACCAAACATTTGCGGTCATTGACCAAGAGGATTATACGAAGAATTGGGATAGTTAGTTTTGAGGTGAATGAGTGGAAAATATTTGTGCACGAGGGGTTGAGCCTTGGTTACACCAGATTTGATTATAGGTTTCTTCTATGAACTTGTCCAACCACCTTCACCCATTTCTACCAACCCAACTCTTGTCCAATCGGAACATAAGGTCTTCACTGCTATACCCATCAATATATTATTAACATTTGTCGGTCCTTACATCATCTCTCTGTATGTTTGTGTTTTTTTTTTTTTTTTTAAAGTAATATTATCTCCTAACAAATTTAATACTATCAAATTATGGACACATATAACCTAAAGTATGCATGATCTCCAGTATCTCAAGAAACAATTACAATTGTTTTTAGTAAAAAATTAAAGAAAAAAAAAAGGATAACAATTCGTTATTAGAAACTAGATTTGTCATTAGTTTCCACGTGATAAATATAATTAGATATATAGAACTACAGCTTTTCTAAATAACGGGGTGATGAAATCCACTATTAAGACCAACATTATACTTAACTATACAAAAAAGAGAAAGGGAAATGTTTCTTATATATATATATATATATATTCAAAACTACAGCTTTTAGAAACTCCTTTTTAATTTCCATTTTATAAAAATATTATCACTAAAACAATTATTCGAAATGATCAATCTCATTCAACACTTTAAACTTTCTTAATTATAGATTAATAGTCAGAAATTTGAGTTCTACTGTACCTCTATTTTCTCTCTAATTAAATTAAAAATTAAACACAATTTAATGACAGATCTGTGCTAATAAAAGCTTAATTTCAAATTTAATAAGCATTCAATTGAGATGAGGAAAAAAAAAATCTAAAACATTTTTTAAAATGTTATTTAACAATTTAAAATTTCTGATTGATTTCGCTTAAGATATAGAGAGATGGTTTCAAGTCCAATCTTTGCATAAATTGTGAATTTTCAATTTTTATGTGCTATGATCATGCCGACGACCTCCTCCTAAAAAAAAAAAACATCTCGTTGATTTAAATTTGTGGCATTAAAGAGCTTGTATTTAATAACTAAATTAAGGTTATAATTAAATAATTTGAAATCGTAAAAGACTAGTTGCTTATGATTACTCAATAAAATATATAGAGGTATCCCAACAACTTAATTTGAAAATAAAAGGCAAGTACTAAAATGTTAAGGTAGATTGTTTGATAATGGAAATAATCATTTGATTGATGATGAGAACTATACAGTAAGATCTGATCTAACATGATCCTGCTTCAATTTAATGTATAGAATTGTGGTTATTTAAATATATGTGGACAAAAGTTACCAAGAGTGGTTAAAATGGTGACCAAACCAGGTGTCCGTATATTTGGTAAGAATTTTGATATGGAACTTGATAATTTCTTGCATTCTTACCCGTTGGTCTTCCAAACCCTCATCAATTTCAATCCTAACTAGAACTTCAATGTACTAACCTCATCGACATGTGTTTCTCTAATGGCATTTAATTGGGCTTCTAGAACTACGTACGATTTTATTAAATTTCCTCCACTAGTTAATTAAAAACAATTATCCTTTTAATTTCACGTGCGTAGAAAAGAAACAGTCTAAGTGGGTTCTCCTAACTATCACCATAAACGGACAGAACAATAGCTCCATATATATCTCAAATAATCAAACAGAAACCCAGTAACAAAACTAGAATTGATACCTTCCTAAAGAATTGTCATCAATAAAGAACACTTCTAACCAAATTACTTCCTTCATTTTGTTACGTAGCGACTCTCTCTAAAGTCATAAGGAAATTTAATTTTAAATAAATTAAAATATGAAATCCCATTCAAAGGTTTTTTTTTTTTTTTTATATACGATTAAGAGTTTCTTCAGTCATTTTAATTATATGTCAATAGAAATTAATTAAAACTTCTTTAATTAGTTCATAGTTTTTGTTTACAGTGATTGCAACCCAACCAAATGACTCTAGCCTTTTTTTTTCCACTTGATTCTCACGCGAAATTAAATATCTTATTCCCGTGAAATTCTAAATTTATTAATGAATTAATATTTCACTCAAAAAAAATATATATATATATATATATATATATATATATATATCCACACTAATTAGATGCAAATAGGTGGTTGCGAGTCATGCAAATCAAAATTATTTTAAAATTTTATATTCAATTATTTTTTTATGTTTTTCATAATTTTTCTACTTAAAAAACATGACTTATTATTCTTTATGCATTGATTGTTAAATAAAAAAATTATAATAATTTAAACTGAAATATAATGAAGAATTGGAAAAAAAAACTTTAAAATATATTTTTCATAAGATTGTATCCAAAATATAAAGCTACAATTAATGTATAGACTTGTACAAAAATTAACAAATAAAAAAAATTATTCTTATTTAATGATGATTGGAAGATTATTTTTTGAAAGTATATGTATTTGATTTTTAAATATTTATCTACAAAATAATCATTAAGGTTAGCATAGGAAATTGTATTTGAATTACTAGATGGTTCTTTTAAAAAATTATTTTAATTATTTTATTTTAACAAAATTAATTCTATAATTTTTTTAAAAAATATATTCATAACAAATAATTGGTATTATGTGTGACGAAGTATAGCTAATTTTTAATAAAATTGATGATTCAAATGATTTTTTTATACGTCATGATCATACTTACTAGACTAAAATAAGCTATTTGAAATACACTTTTAATTTTTATATTAAAATAATTATATATATAAATACATTCCGTTGTTATTTAAAAATTTTAAAAATTCATGATATATATTATATCAATTTTTTTTTAAAAGGAGAAAGCAATCATCTTTTAAAATTTTATTATAAAATCTAAATGTAAGGAAAAATAAATTACATTTATCAGTAAATAAAATTCATAAAAAAAAATTGATTGAATTAGAATTTTCATAAGAAATGACAAATTTAAAGTATAAAATTTAAATAAAAAAATTATAAAAAAATAATAATTGAATTAGAATTTTCATAAGAAATGTAAAATTTAAAGAATAAAATTTAAATAATAAAATTTTATAAAAATAAAAAATTAATTGAATTAGAATTTTCATAAGAAATGACAAATTAAAGAATAAAATTTGAATAATAAGAGTAATATAATCATAAACATATGTTAATTTTAAAATATAAAAATATCTTTTATATATTGTATCAACGTCATGCTATGTAAAAAACATAAATAATCACGCTCGATGTTTCGTAATTTTAGCTTAAAAATTATCAATTAAAAAAAATTAAAGAAAATAAAAAGAAACAAAGCACCAAGCTTGCGTAAGCCGAGATTAGAAAAATGGTTTTTTTTTTTTTCATTTTCGACAGACTTCCGCCATTTTCTACGAATTCGATTTTGCCAAAAAGTAAATGAAAAGTTGGATTTCTTAATTTTTGACACCCCAAGACCAAATACAGCCCTTTTTTGTAAATAGCAAAAACCCTTAAAGTCATAAAAATAACATCAAAATCTATTTAAAATCTCAAAATTCATTTTAATACATACAAAATACAAAAAAATTAAATCAAAATAAAAAAAAACTCAAAACATTTTTTAATCCCGGTATAACTTCTCTAATCATTTTATAGTTTGTGACTACCATAAATGGATTCTACTTTTTGAGACGAGATAAAATAATGATGATTGCGACTCGTCGAGATAGACATAATAGGCCTAACCATCTCTCTCTGTTTCTCTCTCCTTCAAGCTATTAAGGACGAAAATGCAACATAAATGAAGTTCGAGTTCGAAATATTTTTTTAAAAAAAATATGAGGAACTAAAATGAAAAAATTTGGCAAACTTTGTCACAAAACAGTGAAAATAAACAATACAAAATGAGTGTGAGTGAATAATGAGAATGAGTGTGTGAATAATAAAAAAAATAATAAATAACTCATGTGTTTTAGTATTCTTTTAAATAATTTTGTAATAATTTTAAATCATTCAATAAAGAGAATTAAATTCAAAAATATCAAACAAAACATGAATATTTCAAAATAAATTTTTATAATGCAATAATGAATATCTCTCACATATGTTCTAAAATTAATTAAAAAAAAATATAAGATTCTAACCATATAAAATTATTTTATTAATTAATACAACTTCAAATTATGTTAGCTATGCAAAATCCACTCTCTATTGAAAAATATTTTATTTTTGTTAAATATGTGTCAAATTATTCATTATAGCTTAGGATCATTTTAAATATTTTAAAATTTAAGAAACCAAATAAAAACATATTTGTGATATAAGGACCAAAATGAAAAAAATAAAAATAGCTTTAACAAAACTTACAGCATATTTCAAGGAAAGAAATAATGGTGCAGCATAAAAAAATGTGGAGCATTAATTGGTTTGTCCATGTAAGGAGCAAGGGCAAGAATATAACTGGCAGCACCACTAAGTGGCATAACAACAACTAAGCAAATAATATAAGGGTTTTAAATTGACAATCGAAAAAAAAAAAAAAAAAAAAAAAAGCTGAGAAATGGATGAAGCAGATCAAATAAAATAAAAAATGAACGGTCGAAAGGAATTGAGAAGAGTAAACGTGTCTGCGTCACAATCTACAGTGACTTTGGGTATTGCTTTAGTAAATGAATAGTAAACTATGCAGCTCTTTTAGTTTGTTTTGTAATGGTAGTTCTGTGGGTGGGCTGCAAAAAGCCTTGTTTAGAAAAGGAGCCCAAAACGTAAGAGCTGCTCAAGTGGAAGTAAACTTTAATTTTCCAGCGTTAGTTGGATCGGTTCTAAATATTTTGTTCTTATCAATTCCTAGTTGTTCGTCTGCAGATTGTACATAATAGTTAAAATTACTAGAAAAGTCATTCTAATTCGATGGTTTTTTATATTCCGTGAGTCCAATAAAATATATCAAAATGAAAGATAATTTTTTTTATATTATCAATTAATTTTTTTTTTTTCAAAAACTCAAGAAAATATTTATGCAATACACTTCTAACCATAGATCAAGCATATATATCTAGAATCATAATAGTCTTATTTAAAAATTACCAGAACCCATAGTATAAACTATATTTATTTATTTATTTGATAAAAGAAAATAATCGTATTCATAAAAATTTATTTCAAAATCTAAATATAGAGAAAAATAAATAAAATTTAATAAAAAATAAAAAGAAAAAAATAATTGAATAAAAATTTTCATAAGAAATGACAAACTAATGGGATAAATTTCAAATGATAATAGTAATATAATTATGGGGTTTCTATTTCTCCCCCTTTTCTTTCTTTGTATTAATATTAATTATGCCATAAAAGATTAAACATTCAAAAATTATTATAAAAGATTTCTCAAGTAAATAGAAAATAAAATAAAAGGTAAAACAAGATTCTTTCCTGGTACTTTTTAAATGAGTAAGCTATATTATTAATACATCTTTTGTTTTTGATGAAATAATTAATTAGTTAATCCTATATTTTCACACTAGTCTGTAATTTAAACCTTTCATTGATTGTATATGTGATGTTTTTAATTTCTGGACAATTTTTTAATCTCATTTGTTACAAATAAAATAAAAAGTGCACATGAAAATTGCAATTTGGATATTGAAAAAAGAATGAACGGTCAAATTTTTTATGAAGGGATCCACTTGATTTTCAAAACGGAAGAAATAACTTACAAAACGGGAACTAAATTATAATCATTCTTTTTAAATATAAGTTTTTCCTATATATATAATTTTTATACTCTTCAATTTTTTATTATTGAAATTCTTTTTTTCTTTGGTATTGATCGAGTTATACGTTCATTTTGTTTTGTTTTTATTCATTTGTTATAACGTTGTTAGTTCATGATCCACTCATAAATGTGTGACACTTGTCATATATGAGACACTAATAAAAGAGCTCAATCAAAATAACAATATAATTCAATGATTACATAGACTAAATTATTATTATTTTTATATTATTATTTTTTTAAGACCTCATTTTGAACATCAAGAAATATATCATATTTGAGACCTTATCACAATAAATCTATGAATAATATTTTTTTAAAAAAATATTATAATAATTTTAAAATAATAAAATACATACAAAACGAACTTAGCATGTAATTAAAAAAATATAGAGTACAAATATGTTCGTCAAAATTAAAATAAAAAACAATAATAATATTAACTAATAGCTAATTATCTATATCAAAAAAATAAATATGATGTAATTTTTAGTTTTTTTTTAATTTTTTCTTTTAGGTAGCAAATCCCATTTTCACTTTGAATTTATCAAATATTTGGAATTTTTTATTTTATTTTTTGTGGAGGATTAAATCCATTAAGTAGGAATGTGTGTCTCATCAAGATTGCATATTACCATATTTTTATTTTAATAATTTCATGCTAGGTTTTTTTCTTTTTTTTTTAATTTTTAACTTGTCATAAATTTTTTTATTATTATTTTATAAAAAATGCTTTACAATTTTATATTGGATCTCACATATGACACATTTCGTCCATTTAGATTGAGATTTAAAAAATAAAATAAAATAAAATGAAAAAATAATAATTTAATCATTGTACTCTTTGAATTATGTTGATTGAATTTGTTTACTTTTTTAATTGTTTTGATTAAGTCATTCTATCGAAATTTTAAATATGACATATGTCATGCATCCAAGAATCTATGTACCATAGTAGCTCACAAATTAATAACATTATAATGGAGAGATAAAAATAAAATAAAAAGTAAAGTAACACGAAAAAAAATCTTAATTAAAATAATTAAAAAATATACATGAACTAGGCAAAATCCTTTTAAATATATGTAGAGGGCAACCCGAATGCAATTAAAATGTGAAAATTTTGATTACTAATTGTTAAATTATATGATATAACTTTTTGATCTTCACGAGTACTGTAGAAATAAATTTACCTGTGTTTTTTCTCTAATCCATGTGAGGAAATAATTCCGCATAAGAACAAGACAACTCTCTGTGTCCAAAGCTTTTCTATCAGGCACAGATTTGGTACGTGTGATCAGGTAAGAGGCTTATAGTTGTGAGTGCATAAACTTAGTGATCAAGTTAGGAACAAAAAGCAAGAATGAAGATATTTTCATAATTGAAAGGAAGCCGCAAGCGATAGGTGCCCCACGTCTCCCCAGCTTTTTAAAAGGCTCTTTATTTCATTAGAGGCAAAGAATACTCTCTTTTGCATAATAATATATATAGTAGTATGTGTACTACCATACCAATTACTTCCAAAATCCGTCATTTTGTTTTATTATTATTTAATTAACATATCTTTTTTATTTAATATTTCTTTTAAAAAGCAGAAACTATTGCATGTTTTTTCAAATGCGTGTAACAAGGTTTTGGTCTCTCTTCTTTTTATTTTTGTTTTCATTAGGGTACGTAGCATTTTTCAAATAGTGTCTTTTTTTTTTGCAGAGCAATATTAATTTTCTACTTTGGTTACTCAGTATGATACAAGGTTTAAGCACTTTAATGCAAAAATTATTCACATGCAATAGAAATCTTACATCTTATTGGGTTGACTACATATTTATCCATCTGCATAGAGCCAATCAAATGTTGTTTTACCCTAACCAACATCAATCAAATCAAAATGTTTATAATATCTAATTGCATAAATTATAACTTAATCCTTCCACTTTTGAAAAGCAAATTAATTAATCTTTTTTTTATTTTATGTTTTTTTCTAATTTACATATATTATTGAAAAATTGATAAGAAAAAAATATGTTTTTAAAAATTAAATTAAATTAAATTAAACGCATCTAATCAATAAACTAAAAATTTAATCTTTAAAATAAGAAGGATTGATTAATTTATTTTTCAAAACTAAAGAAATTAATTTATAATTTATTCTATCTAATCACTAAGCTTTTATTATTATTATTATTTTGAGAGGTAATCACTAGAGCATATTCCAGTTCTAGTTACGAAATAAACTAAAAGAAAACCATGAAACACTGTAACGGAAGCATTGTTCTTTAACTGCTCATTCTTTTTTTTTTTTTTCACTTCTTCCGCCACAACCCACAGCTCCCTTTTGATTTTAATAAACTTCATTTTCGTTTTAGTCCTTGTTTTATATTTTTTTCTTTTTGATCATTAAAATTTACTATATTTGAATTTTATCAATCACTATTCATTTCTTTTTCTCTCTCTCTCTTCCCCCAAAGCTCCCTTTTACTTTTAATAAACTTAACTTTCGCATAAGTCCCTGTTTTATAACATTTTTTCTTTTGGTGATTAAAATTTTATTATATTTTATTTTTATCCTTATAATAAATATATTTTTTGTGATTTTTAATTTATTTCATTTTAGCCCCTAGAAATTTAAAATAAAAATTTTAATTCCCCGATTGATGCACTATGCATGCCTTTTTTTTTTTTTTTTGTAATTTTTTCCATCAATTTATGTTCTTTTTTTAATTGGGTGTTCAAATTTTGCGCAATCCATCATAACTTTTTTTCACATAAATTGATGATTATGTAATATATATTTTTATATTTTGAAATTAACCTATACTTCAGACTTATATTACTATTATTATTTAAATTTCATTATTTAAATTTATCATTTTTTATCAAAATTCTCATCCAATTAATATTTTTATATGAAATTTTATTTACTGATATTATATAATTTATTTTTCTCTATATTTGAATTATAGAATAAAATTTTAAAACATAATTTTTTTTCTTTTTTAAAAATAAATTGGCATAATATATATATCATGAACTCTTAGAATTTTTACACGATAGTTGCATATATATATATATATATATATATTAAAAGATTAAAAGTGTATTTCAAATAATTTATCTCAGTTCACTAGATATGGTCAAGACATATAAAAACATTATTGAATCGTTCATTTTATTAAAAATTAACTATACATCTTCCAACATAAACAAATTATTTGCTATAAATAATTTTTTAACATTATAAAACCAATTTATTCAAAATAAGATAATTAAAATAATTTTTTAAAGGAACCAACCAATTATTCAAATACTATTTTTTATGCTAATTTTATTGATTATTTTTTCAATAAATATATGTAGATCAAATGTATATACTTAAAAAAAATTAATCTTCTCACCAACATTAAATAAGAATAAAATTTTATTTTTTTATTGGTTAATTCTTATGCAAGTCTATACATTAATTGTAACTTTATTTTTTAAATTCATTCTTATAAAAAAATATAATTTTAAAATATTTTCTTTTCAATTCTTAATTAATTTTTCAGTTTTAAATTATTATAGGTTTTTATTTAAGAATTCCTAAATAACGAAGAATAAATCATGCTTTTTAAGCAAAAATTTTATGAAAAACACACAAAAATAGTAATAATTAAATAAAAAATTATTTCATTTTGAAATGATTTTATTTTATTTACCGAGTAGCATTACGCAAATAATTTTAAAAATTATTTTTTCTCATCAGCATTAAATGAGAATTCTTTTCATTTGTTAATTTTTGTCAAAATCAATCCATTAATTATAATTATTTTTTAGAATACAATATTGTGAAAATTATATTTTTAAAGTTTTTTCAATTCTTGATTAATATTTTAGTTGAAAATATTATAATTTTTAATTTTAAAATCAATCCATAGAGAATAATTATTTATTTTTTTAAGAAAAGAATTTATAAAAACATTAAAAAAATTAATTAAATTAAATATTATAATTAAAAAAATTAAAAATTAAAATAATTTTGTTCTATCATATTCATTACGTAGCATGGACAAACAACTAGTAAAAACTAAAACAATTGAGGAGTTTACCGTTTAAATGAACAGTAACTCTCCAGCTGTTCATTTCTTTAAAAAAAGCTTAGTTTTTCACATCCTCTCCGCATGCAAGTTATTTCTTTTTCATTTTCGTTTATTTGTTGCCCTCTTCTTCTGTTATAATTGCATTTGTGCCATTGAGTGCCTTTATATTATTACTTTTTGGCCCTTCTTTTTTGCTGTTTCCTTGCACCTTTGTTTGTCCTTTATAGACATTTCCTTTTCATATTTAACAAGGCATTTAATGCTTCTGATCTTCAATTTCCTTCTCTCTTTCTGGGCCCTTTTTGGTTCATTTGTCTCATTTTGTTTGTCTTTTTTGGACATTTTCTCTTCATTTTTCACATAGCATTTAATGATCCTAATCTTGAATTTTCTTATCATCTTTCACATAGCATTTAAAACTTCTAATCTTGAATTTTCTTTTATTTTTTTCTCTCGCCTCTAATGTAGAGGGGCGTTTCAGTTTTTTTCATTTTCCATTTCCTCTTGTCTTTCTAAATCAACTTTTTAACTTTTGATTCCATTATCTCTCAATTTTTTTTATCTCTCCAGTTCAATCTTTCTGAAAGGGTGTTTGTGTTTCTTTTCTTGAATCAATTTGGATGATGTCTTATCGTGAATTTCTTTTATTGGGATCTTAATTCATCACTACTTCTCTAATTTTCATGCTAGGTTGCTTGGATTGTTCTCTATTGGCTCACATGCTTCATCTTGATCATTGTTTTTTAGTTTTGTTCTCAGATAAGGCATTTTAATGTTTTTTTTCATGTTTATTATATTTTCTTCCACTTTCTAATTGGATGTATTTTTTATTTATCAAAATAAAAAATATTCTTAAGATATATTTAAATTCAATTATATATATATAATTTTTTTACAATGAATGTTGATTATTTTTATTTTATGTTTATATTTTTAAATTATTTAAAATATTAAAATATAAATATAATAGATTTATCTGGGGTAACGTGTGGGTAATGATGCAGTACTTACTAAATAATAACAAAAAAATGACGAGCAATTACACAAGATTCGATAGATGGAAAAGCTTGAAAAGTACATGCAAAAATAAAGTTTGATATATAGCATTTTTGTGAATATATATCGCTTTTTCGAAGCAGTCAATATGGAATAGCTAGTAGGTGGGTAGGCACTGATTTTAAAGAAATCTGAACGCGAAAACCTTTTGGACATACGTCCCATATGCTTAAAGTTGATTGAAACGCATGATTTTTTTTTTTTTTTTTTTTTTTGTGTTGAAAGAATTTTCACCAACTTGTAATTAGTGGATTGATATTACCTCTTTTGACCACTAACATTTATCATTTTGGTATTATAAATTTCAAAAATAAATGATACTTTTCCTTTTCTCATATGGACAGTACAACCTTGTCACACTTTGCAATCGACATCTTCCATCCATCTTATACTTTTTTTGTTCTCTAATTATAGTGTTTGCTCTGGATTTTCCATTGTTCTAACATCTACTTTTAATTACTTTTTGTTCTTCTTCTTTTAAGAATGATTCTTCCATTCGAATGGGTAATTCAGAGAAATACAATAAAACTCCAACTCTAGAGAAAATTACAAAATAAACATTTTTCAAAAAAAAAAAAAAAAATTGATGATTGTCATAAGAAATAGTGGAAACAACATAGAGATTTAATTTGTATTAAATATTTTATGAATAAAAGCTATCTTCTAAATTTAAAACTTTCACATTATCTATATTTGTATTCGTTGAAGCACATTTAATGGAAATAAATATATGTCTTTGAATGCAAATTACAACTAATAGATGTATCATTAGTAAAACTTTTTACCATACAAGTTTTCAATTAACAAAAGTGAGATTAATTGAATTTTAATTAAAGGGGAAATGTTATACTCACAAATTAAAGAGAATTTGTATGTTAAAATCGCACATGAAACCTATCCTTTAGTTCATAATTTTTTATTTTTTATTTTCAAGGATGTTATTTGGGGTTGCAAATTGGAGATATGTGTTACAAAATGCACGTGGCACAACAAGGGAGAGAGTGTCTAAGGGCAACTGTCAAAAAGCGGCTGCCCTTGGCATTCTCGTTGTTGTTTCTGGAACGGTTGACGTATTTCTTTGATATTAAAGAAAAAAACAAAAAAAAATTGAAAAGGTCACCCACGAATTTTAAAACAAATTATTTTGGTTTTTAGCTCACAATCACTAGATTTTTTTTTAAAACAAAATTGATAACCTTAGAGCGAGATGGTATATGAATTCTTTCATTTTTGGAATATGATCGTCGGTTGTCATATACATTTTAAATTTCATCATTTGTTTTAAATTCAATAATGTGAATATATATATATATATATATATATATATATATATATATATATATATATATATATATATATATATATATATATATATATATATATATTAAGTAATTATAAGCTTGTTGTCTATTTTTTAACTTGTACCGAATTCATGCATACTCATTCAATTTAAATTAACAAAACATAATAGAAAGTACGACGAGAAGATCGATCATAAAAATAATTATTTAATATGTGAGAACTTAAAATCAAATGTATAAAATTTTCCATCACATATAAAATCATTTGATCAAAATTAAGAGAAGTGTGCATAATTTTGTGCTGTAGTTATCCTTATTTAGCAATCTCCAAATCGCAATCCATAAAGTATAATGTATATATATATATATACAGGATTAGGCCACAATCAAGGAAAGTAGTACTTGAAAAAGCACTTAGCACTGTGTGACGTATTGGACGCATTGAAGCAAAGAATGAGAACAAATTTGAACCAGAAGCTGTAAGAAGACGTTATGAAAGCTAACCAAAGCGCACACTTTTTCTTTAGGAGTTCACTTTGCTCTTTCAAAGTTTTTAGGGACTCGTTTTTGGAACAAACAGCAAGAAAATCATGACATGTTCAAGAGAAGCTCTTGTTAGGGTGTTCTACAGTGTCTCATGCTCCTCTTTCCTTCTCCTTCTCTTCCTCTACTTCTCCTCCAAGTTGCTCCTGAAGCTCATCAACTTCATTGGCAGCTATCCTATAATCCAAAGGTCTCATGCAACACCTCTCTAGTTCTCCCTCTCAAAAACATATATAATATGTTCACTTTTTTTCTCTTTTTTGTGTGTGTTTCTTGTTTTGCAGAAATCAAAATGGATATGAATATAATTTCTCTGATGATGAAGAGGAGGAAGAAGAAAACGAAACGTATGTCTACTATGCTCAGTCTACGGAAAGAGATAACATTGAGGCCGACATAATTCATGGTGGTGAATATGAATCGCCAGCACTTCAGTTTATGCCTAACAACAGCACTCGTACAAATCAAAATCATGTTGAAGATTTCATAAGCACACCGGAGGCCTTACTTGAAGAGCAAGATGATAGTTTTGATGGTGGTGAAATGCTTTCTTTTCATGACTCTGCAGCAGGTTCAGAATCAGAACATGATGACGCAGATATGGTTGAAGAAGAGATCCAAACAAGCGATGCTGATTCGGTTCATGATTCTGTTCCGAATCAACACGGCCCCACTGCTCCGATCACCAAAGACCTACACAAAAGTGCTTTTATGGACAGTGACGAAAACTGTAGCGGTATTTGGCTATTTGCATCATATATGCTTCTCTAAGAAAAGTTTGTTACATTAGTCACATGTTGTACTTATAATACGTCCATTTGTCCTCATATTGCTCATGCTGTTTTTCTTGCAGAAGACTGCATTAATCAAGAAATTGAAAGTAAGAAGCTGAAGGATACAAATTTATCTGTTGATGAAAAGTTTCTGATCTTAGCGCCAAACCGATTGGAATCCAGGAAACTTCAAGTTCAAGAAATGGAGGAGGAAGAAATATTTGGTGACTCGTGCACAGTGGGTTCAACTTCTAAGAGCTCCTCTGAATGGAGGAGCTCAATTAAGGATTCAGGTACTGAAGACCCATTTTCTTCTTCGTCGCGAAGAAGTTGCCCCAGGTGGGAATCCTACACAGTGTTCCAAAAATATGATGAAGAGATGATGTTCCTAGACAGAATTAGTGCTCAAAAGCTTCATGAAACTGGTAATTTATTTAAGTGCTATTGAATGTCGTGTTACTATTGATTTTTTCATTCCTTTAGCAAATTACTAATCAATTTCAAATGTGCTACCTGTTTTCAGAGTCTCTTAAGTCCATCCATGTGAATCCAAGATCAATTTCAGATAGGATCGTTCACAAGTTTTCAACTATAAACAAGAAGCCTTCAGACTTCCGCCAAAACCCATATCATGAATTGGAAGCTACCTATGTAGCTCAAATTTGCTTAACATGGGAAGCACTAAATTGGAACTACAAGAACTTCGAACGTAAAAAAGATTCGCAACGCGACCTTGATCCTGGCTGTCCTGCACATGTTGCACAACAGTTTCAGCAATTCCAAGTCCTTTTGCAGAGATATGTCGAAAATGAGCCTTATGAGCAAGGCCGGAGACCGGAGGTTTATGCCAGAATGAGGCTTTTAGCACCAAAGTTACTCCTCGTGCCAGAATATCGAGGTATGCATTAATCGAAAGCCTAATCCTCTGTACATATCTCGTCATCCTAGGAAACAAAAGAAGAAAAAAACGGAAGAATATTTTCCATTAGAGTAGGTTAATTTCTCAATCCTTTCAAAAGGCTTAGAATTTGGGATCCTATCCAAAGCACTGTCACAGTTTTCTTTAAGAGGTAGCAAAGATCTTTTTTTTTCTTTTTTTCTTTTTTCCTTTTTTGTATGTAATTCGTTGGAAGGCTCACTTGACCTTAGATTATAAAAGGAGAATAACCTTCTTGCATCCCTTAAAAAACTCCCACAACCTCAACTATAATGAGATCTGAATCCAAGATTCACGTACAGTCAAAATTAATTTCTACGTTCAAGCCATTAACATGCGATTTTCATAATTTCTTCGCTCTTTATTTCATCTGAAATTCGAGATGTAGGGTCTTTATTATGGTTACAGGGAAGAGGATGTAACTTTTCATTTTTGTGTCTTTGTTTGCCTAGCTAGCTTTTTTAAGTTCTTTTATTTTGTTCTTTCAAGATTCTCAAGATGATCAGAGGGATGATGCTAGTTTTGGCTCAAGAATTTCATCAGCTGCATTTCTAATGATAATGGAAGACGGAATCCGAACATTCATGAATTTTCTCAAGGCTGATAAGGAGAAAACCTGCCAGATCCTTAAGGCATTCTTTAGGCGAAATCGAAGGGGTTCAGTAGATCCTGTTCTTCTCCAATTAATGAAGAAAGTTAATAAAAAAGTAAGCTTATACAACCCTACTTTTGACTCTCAAGTAATGATTTACTATTATGACAATATCATTTTTGGAACTAATCCCGTGAATGTTTTACATTCTATATGTGTGCAGAAAAAGATGAAGCTTAAAGAGCTTCGCCGTGCTCGTAATTGCATAAGGAAAAGAAAATTAACAGTAGAGGAAGAGATGGAGATTTTGATGGGACTAATAGACCTAAAACTTGTCTCGAGGGTATTGAGAATGACTGGCATCGGTGAAGAGCAAATGCATTGGTGTGAAGAAAAAATGAGCAAAGTGAGAATATTGGAAGGGAAGCTTCAAAGAGATTCCTCACCACTTTTTTCCCGGCACATTGACCCACACAATACTGTGTTGGTTGATGACTAGATCATGAAAGTGTCATGACCGCACAAAAATGAATATCCTCGGCACCCTTTTGTAAATACTGTAAAATAATGTACATGGAAGAGGACCTACAGATCAAAGTAACTCCATGTGGGTGACATGGATTTTGGGTTTTGTTGATTTGGAATCCAAGATAGAAGAGTAAAGAGAGAGATGTGTCTGCAGGAATTTGTAAACATTGAAAGTGAAAGACCAGATACAAAGCAAGGAACATCAAGATAGACACAAGGTTAGCTTTAGCTTTTTAAATAGGGTTTATCTACAAGGGATTTGAGTTGAATCAAAAGAAGAGAAGAGAAAAGCTTTTACACATGCATGGCGTGGAGGAATAATAAAAAGCAGCACATGGTACACTCAAAGAATTGTGGCCTCAATGTCACCATCTATTGAGGGAGAAGAAAAATAAATGAATAATAGACGTTGTTTGTAGGTGTATCTACAAAGCAGGATCTTACAATTTCATGAAAAGCTAGTCTTGCAGTTGGGTCATTATTAGATGAATGTATGAATGACTTCTAAAAGAGCATTGCCTCAAAAGATTATACGATACATTATTATCTCAGATGTGATATTCATTTCACATTCTTTCCAATCACAGTTTAGAAGACCTGAGTAGTCAACTCAAATTTATTTGCTTTCCCCTTAGCAACTTTCCTAACTGTTGAAGAAATACTTTTAAGTTCATTTCTATTAATTAGGAGTGCGTGTTGCATAAATCCACAGAGAGATTAGTACGTAGCAGATACACAAAGCATGATTTTAACAGGTACTGTTCTGTGGGCAATTGATTAGGTGACCTGCACATAAAACAAATGGAAGGGTTGAGGGATAATCAAAACCTTTCAATCTTCCATCCCCCAACCTAACATAATTTTAATCTGGAGCGTTTGAAACAAATGAAATATCGACTTTATAACTGCATGGTTTGGATTTTGAAGCACAATAATGATCAGAAGGGCTTCTATGCGTGTCCATATGTGAAATATGTTTACCTTGCTCAGTCTACTTCTAATTGGCCTTTGCAATATCAAGCCACGTTTCCTCTTGCTTGAGCTATTGAAGATGCCAATGTGAAAATGGCTGACAAGTACTAAAACAATTAAACGTGATCTTAAAAATTCAATGTTAAATCATCTCTTGAAGAAATTGCCATTTACAGTTCTATAGTAAACTTCAATGTTTATCGGCCAGATATCATCACTCTCTTTAATATACTTTTCCTTTTCTTAAATCTTTTTTCTATCCATGTAGTTTTCTCGATCTGTCCAGCCGGTCTTCATGATATTGGCTTGCTTTATTTTCTCAATACTTCCTCCCCGGCTATGCATCCTGTCTTTGTCACTCTGCTTATGCCTGTCACTTTGAATGTTTCTTCTCTTGACCACTACATTTTCGCTCCACTTAAGTTCTCCGATGCGTCTTTTGTCTATCAATTTGGTCATCCAGATATCAATGTCCCTTTCTCTTTTCTCTGTCTTGGACCTTCCGGTGTCTCCAAACAGCATCTCGCATCTGCAAAATCTGTTTCATTTTTACACAATAATATAGCAGAGAGAGATTGCCAACCTAGAATTAATCTACATCCCGAGCATATTGCAGTCCTTTAGCATGTAATATGGAGGGATTGTTAGTGGCAGGACCACCAGGGCGATCCTTGGCGGTATGACCAAGCACACCACAGTTTCAAGCAACCTCATCCTGCAGTCAATAAGATGGAACATGAAAATAATATAAATGTATTCAAGTCTCTCCGTATTTGACAAATATATGGCAAGTGCTTTTGAAACACAAAAACATGCTCCAGGCTTATATTTGGCAGCATTCCAACTCATAACAATTGGTTGTCTCTGGAGCAACAAGAAGCAACTTGGTTGTTTCTAGCTCAATAGGCATTGTATTTATGTTCCACTCCTTTATCTTCATATGTGAAATAGGGCACCATTTATGCTCCATTAAGTTGATTTGCACTTGGGCTATAATCATTATCAGAATTTTATTTATTATTATTTTTTTTTTTTGGCCCTTTGGAAGAGACATTCACAGTGGTGATCTTTACCTTTATCTAGTAGCATTTATGCATGCATTGGGATTTGGGACCTAGTTTTGCAACACCCTGGCTGAAATCCACAATTGGAACAAGTATGATCCATCCAGAATGAAGCAATTTATAAAGAAGGTTAGCACAATTAGTGCTAGATCAAGCAACTAAATAAATGCTTCGGTTAATACAAGAAGCAAGTGATGGAAATACATCCTTTACGATCACAATCAACTATTTAAAGAGTTCGCAGCAATAAAACTGTTTTGATATTTTAGGAACAATATAAGTAAACACATCAAGTAACAAGGCACTTCAGGGCAATCAGATTTGCAGAAAGAGGACTACAACCGACAGCTTGACATAACAGAAAGGTATGTTAAAGCATGTGTGTTTACAAGCCTAGCCTCTTTGGTTTGACAAAAAACAAAACAAAGAAAGAAAAATCGTATTTGTTGATAATTAGAAAGTAATACATATCTAAAATATGCCAAAAACAAGATGATGTAAATACAGAGATCATATAACATCTTCTACGGTTCAATTGCTATGACCATAATGCAAGCCCCAGACACGAACTGTAAAGATAAACAAAAACATGTAAATGGAAATGACTAAAATATTAAAGTTGATGGTAAGTGAAGCATTCTACTGTACTGAAATAAATCACTCAAAACGATCATACATGAAGATATTGATGATTGTTGTCAGCATTGTCCAGCACGCACAGATCTGTCTAGGACAAATTTTTCGTATCAGCTTTGTTCCAATTTCAAACTTTATCCTTTATTTTCCATCTATCTTTATTTTTACGATGGATTCTAGGATACATGTTCATAAAGGCTCGAGTAAGAAATTTGAGCATCTCTGTATCTTTAAGTAATCCTTAATTTGCAAAGTATAGTGCAAGGTCTTGCAAATGAAAGAACATTTTACTGAAGCACCTCAGTACATATTGATTTTCTTAAGTCTTAATTGCAGCCCAATACCAATGAATTTCAAAGTCAACTTAAGGATTTAGGTGGCTGATCGAACTTTTGTATGTTACTTTGGAGAAGGACACAAACACTACCAGAGGGAAACTAGAAAGAAATTTATGGAAAAAATTTACTGCCTCACTGTAAGGAACCAAGTTCTAGCAAGATGACCTTTTTGTATACTCATGCACACGCATACGAACACATTAATAAATCTAGCGGAAAAGATTCCACACACCTATATATGCTTAGAACAAACTAATGTCCCCAGTCTTGTTATATCAAAAATTATTTGAGCACTGTCATTTTTCAAGCAACAACAACTGAATTTTCCCTCAAACATGCACACCCAGCCCAAAAGCAAAATGTTTTAGCAGGAAACAGTTTTGAATTGCTCACAGTATAACATTCTAAGAATATGAAAAGATTGTATGCAAGTCCTCTCCCTACACAAAGAAATCAACAATCAAACAGTAACAGTACAAAGAAACAATCTTATTACATTCCTGCCTCATAATGACAGAACAAAGACTTAAACTCAGTAATTGGATTCAGTTTACAAACAGATGGGACGTTGTCTAGATGCTTTATCTCGGCATAAGGACTGTCTCCAATCAGGAATACAAGATAAAAATGACTTAAGTTCATGTAGAAAGATATTGAATACTAAGATTAGTACCTTTTGTGTAGATGCTTATACTATCAAGTACGACTGTAGTAAAATGCGCTTCCTTCGCTTGAGGAACCTCCTCAAGCTCTGCTGGACCTAACTGGTCATCCATGGGCACCCAATCATCTCAAGCACCTCATCATCAACCTAGTTAACATCAATCTTTTTATGCAGTTACATCTAGTGATAGGGAATGATGAATGGCTGCCCAAAAAGAATGAGATTCGAACAGTCATTTTCAAAGCAAAAAAAAGAGCCCGATATCTGCTAGTTGGTAATACTAGATGGTCAACTAAATCCTTAAAATTATATAACAGCAGATGAAAGAAAATTGATTGACATTTCGTTCTCAAGACATTTATGCCATTCAATTCAATCGTATCATTCACGATCATTATTCATAGTACATTCACTTATAACATTCTAAACACATAATATTCAAGCTCAATGATTTTTCACAATAAATTATCATGCTTTTCACATTCATTACGCACATACACTAAGCAACCATAATAATAAATCATCAAACATGCTTACTGATTATTGAAAGTTACCTCCCATATCTATTACTTGCGTCTTCGTTAATTTCTTAGTAAACAATGCTCCGATACTACGTCTATAGCACCTCCAATTTAAGATCTATTAGATTGAGAATATTACGATTGTTGACCTATATTTAAAGTGCAATGAATGCAAGTCAACAAGGCACAACATCTTTCCTATTATGTTAGTAGGTATGAGTTATGTTGCGGAAACCTATTCAATAACGTGTAAGTCCTAATTTCAGCATAAAATGCATTATTAATTTTTTTTATTTTAACATTTTATTTTAATATTTTAGACCGAACCAACTAGATCCATGATGCTCAATTTTGTCAAATTCCTTTTCTATAAGCGTACGGTAATTTATTAAATTATTACCCATTGTTTACTAATTAATCCCTTTTTTCGTTATTACTTTTTATTTATTATGGTTAATTCTTTATCATTTTCGTGGCTACATTTTATTATCAAGGATAGCATGCAAGTAATTAATTAAAATAAAACTACCACTACATGTTGTTATATCAATACATATCCATATTTTACATATTAGCCAATTTTATGCCATGCTACCACAAAAGTGGCTTGTTTATTTACATCTAGTTTCTCATTTCTAACTAATCATCTACTTGCTCGGGGCTTTACTATCATATAAAACATAAATGTCATACCCGGTATGTAAACTAAAATACCGAGCACTAACAAAGCAACGAGTGTGCGGGATGTCAAGCTTACATCCGCATGCAAGATACACTAGGTGAAGAGATCCTTCGAGTAGTCGGTTAGCAAGTGAACATCACCATTATTCTTTACTTTTTCCTCCTTACATCACAAGAAACTCAATGAGTGATTTCCGGTAAGTTAATCATGCATGACGTGTATGCATGCACGTGAAATGCTCATAAAAAATTATTTTCATGTCTTTTCCGAAATCCTTTTCATGCTTGGACGCGTTTTGTCGAGTATGAGAAGGTACACGTCTGTACCCACCGGGCCATATTTCCTATGCAATTCTCCTATGGGGCCATCACCAATTCCCTCACGAGTCGAGGCACATATCAATTCCCTTGATGAGAAATGTCATTTCCTTCTATTGGGGCTTGCCTCGTATGAAGAACTTCTTTGGCCTTGGCCATTGCCGGCCTGTCGACGAAGGAAATGTCGGGGACCACGAAAATCATGAAACACTTTCCCATTTTTCGTTGAAAACCATGAAGGATATTCTTTCTATGACTTGGCATGCACATGCATTTAATGAAAATGCATAATGCTCATGGACCATGTAATGCACGTCATACGTGATGTCCATTTATACCATAACATAACATGTCGCAATATAATAAAATGCACCATAAAATACATTACCTCGCAATTCTTATTGACTCATTCATGGTGCACAATTCAATTACAAACCATCAACACAGGGCATCACGAATGTCACATTTCACATCAACGATCAAATAATGGTATATTACACCAACCATTCAAGCATTTTTCAACTTCCATAAACGTACACAATTAGGTCACAAACATCACATTTCATGCCTTGAACATAAACATTGCAATTAGATCATCATAAAATCATCAATTAAACATTCAAACACTAAAAGTGTTTAAAAATCCTAATTTTTTCTATTTAGGCCGAAATCTCACCTAAGCTAAACTAGATGAATTTTTTTTATTATAATGCAATTTTTCATGCTAGAAATATTCTTATACTTCACTAACTTGTAATTGATTAATTAAATAACAAACAAACAAAAGCATCAAAAACTCCTAAATTCACTACTATGGCCAAAACTTTCAACAAGAAGAGGCCAAGGGATTTTTTATTTTTCTTGCTCAATTTTATGCCCAATTAACATATTTTAACATCAATTGCATGAGTTTTTATGTCAAAATCACTTTCTCCAATTTTTTCTAACTAAGAACCCTAACCCTAATTTATGAAATTAATTCAATTAAACACAAATTAAGGACACAAAATCAACAATTAATATCAATTAGCATGTCTTTGTGATGTAGATGAGATTAACTTACATCTAAAGCTCCAAATTAATCCTTGAAAGATTGAATTGCTTTGAAATTTTTCCTTCCCTCTTTTCCTCCTAACTTTCGACGAAAAGTCCCTTTTTTCCTCCTTGGAAACTTTGATATTCCAACTTAAATTCTAGGCTTAATAAGGTGTTTTAGGGTGCGTTTAAGTGTTTAGATAAAATTTTGAGTGATTTTCTATGGCAATTTTGCGAGGGTTTTCCTTGAATTTGTCAATTTTCCAACATTTTTCTCCCATCTTTTCTACCTATATTTATAGGTGAGTTTAGGTAGAATTTTTCTTGTTTGACTTGATCTTGGCCCTTCATTTGGTTTAATCTCTCCCCTTGATTTTGCTTTTAATCCTAGCCCTTAATTTCTTTTAATCCTAGCCTTCCATCTTTCTTTAGTTCTCATTCCTCCTTTTTACTTCATCTTAACCCTTCATTAAGCCTATAAGTCAAAGCTAATTAATGAACCTTAATCATGGAGGGTGAGAGGTGAAAAAAGAGAAAAAAACCTCTCCCAATTTTTTTTTATTTTAGTCCCTCAATTTATGTAATTTTCCATTTTTTTTCCTCCTCTATAAGCCCTTCAAATATTTAATTGACCAATTTAGGTCCTTCCTTAAGGTCTATTCTAACAACTTTTTACTTCCTCAAGTTCATTTATACTTTTATTTAAAAGCTTAAAATTTTACTTTTATGCAATTGGATCCTTAATTCTATGCAATTGGGTCCCTATATAAGCATAATTTATTCCACAACTTTTCAAAAATTAATTTCTTTCCATAATAAATTCAAACACTTCCTATATTAATTTATCCATCATTTAAATAATTTTTATACACACATTTAAGCACTCAAATTAATTATTTTGCATAAAAATGCACAATTTTTCCTACGAGAAAATATTCCTTGAGCACAGAAAAATTACCTAAGTGCATGGAATATTCCTACACCTCTCTAGTAATTTTTCTATGCCCATTGAATAATTTTCATGTACAATTAAAACACTCAAAACAATTAATTTGCATCAAAACCACTATTATGCATTGAAAAGTCAAATAAAATATTCATCGAACACAAAAAAAATCATCCAAATGCACATAATATTCTAGCACCCATCTAATAAATATTCTATATACACAGAATGATTTTCACATATATTTAAAATATATTAATTTATTTATTCTTAGATTCAAGATATTACAAAAAGAGAGGTATAGCTTTTAGCAACGTGGGTTTGTGGTTAGAGATGCATAGCAATTGTTAGTGGTTTTGTTAGAGGAAATGGCAACTGTAGCTTGTTTGGCTAAAAGGTTTTGTGAGGGTGGTGACAACAAGAAGGACGATGATTGGAGGAGTTTCTATTTTTTTTTTTAATGGCTATTGGTTTCTGGCAGGTTGGGTAGCGATAGGGCTTACAACAATGGTGGTAGATCAAAGTTTTATGGGTTTTGGCTCGAATTTGGTAAGGGTTTGGATGAGGGAGATGACAACCACAGTGGCGTGATTGGGTGAGGGGACGATTGATGTCAGAAAGAGGCCGAATGGCAACGAGTGTGGTTTGTGTGAAAGGGGTGTTGGCATCAAGTAGATGGTCGTTGGGTGGCTGGGCATGGTTGTAGCAGTTGGCTAAAGGAGGAGGGAGTTTTTTTTTTAGGGTTTTTTTTTTTAATTTTAGGACTGGCTGAAGAAGGAGGAGGGAATAAGAGGAGATTTTACTAGGGGACTTTTTAAGGTTTTGGGAAAGATTCAGTTCGGTCTCCTATTTCTACATTTTTCTTAATTTTGAGTCTACGTTTCTTTATTTGCTTTCAATTCCGCCCCCTCATTGCATTTATTTAATCCCTCTTTTTTTTATTCCTATCAATTCAACCGAATTTACCTTCAATTATGGTCGTTGACTTTTCATCTCTTCTAGTTATACCTTCAACTGGATTTTGTTTTTAGTCCTCACTTCTCACATTTATTTCAATTGAGCTTGAATTTCACCTTTTCCTTTTATTCTCTGTTTTTTAATCTTTTTTATTTTCTTTAAACTCACAAAAATCATGAGACTCACAATCCTAACAAAAAAGTAAAAATCTGTAAAATTAAGTGAATTAAAAAATATTTTATTTTGACAATTTTTTATTTATTTAGGATTTTTTGTAAAAAAAATAAATTAGTAAACAATTAGGTGAAAACAATAATTATAATATTTCAAATTGAAAAAATTAAAATCGGAATACAGTTTTTGTTTGACCGATATTACCGAACATATTTGCCTCAGTTGTACAGAACTTGTACACAATTTGTTTCAGCTGATTTTGAAAGATGCAAATTTTATTCATAAAAGTAAAAACATAACATTATATTTATATGTTTCAAAAAAAAAATCATAAATAAAAGTAAAACTAAAACTAAACGTAAAAACAGAGGCTGGAGAAGCGCATGCGGGCCAGGGGCACTCCGCTTCTCCTTCTTGACTGCTGACGGTAACTAGCCAACAGAAAATCCTTTTCCGCAGCGGCATTGGTGGAGGAATCAAAGGCCAGCAGCAACGATAAAAGAAGAAATAGTAAAGGAAACGACATTGGAAAATCGGGCTGTAGGTCACCACTTGCATTTCCGAATCATTGTTTTCTGTTCTTCCTTTTCTACTTTATCGTGGAATCATGGACGCTCCTCTGCTTTTCCTATGAAGCCACGAGATTTCTTCTGCTTGCTCTAGTGCTTTACATGTTCTAAATTATCACAAGATTTTAGGGAATAGTTTGAAAATTTGGGAGGCCTAGTAATAATTTCTAGGAGACTAAAATGAAAACATGCCTATGCTTAAGGGACTAAAATGATTTTTAAATTTTTTTTTTTTGGGGGGGGGGGGGCATGGCCCCTTGATTCCAAGCTCACGCAGCCGCCCTAGAGCGGGTGCTGTGTTTATAGTTTCCTCACCTAAGTAGGTGACTTTCGTGCATAAATAAGTTTTCCATGGGGAGATGGTGTCAAATTTTGGTTATTAGTTAAAAGAGTTCTTTTTCTTTAATTTAAAAAAAAAAAAAAAAACATTAAGAACTGGTATAGGGTGGGGTCTGGCTATATGCGACCGGCTTTTTGAGCCATTAGATGTTCTTTAGCTACATCCAACGGGTGATATTTGTCCACTCTCTATTTTATTATTTTTAATTTTTTGGGAAAACCTATTTTTAATTTGTATCCTTATCTTGCAAACAAACAACGAGATAGCTATGGATTTCCTCTTTTTTCTTTGTCAATTTTCTGCGAGTCAGATAGAACAACAAACAGCTAACCAGTCTCGTCGCCAACTCCAAGGGATCTCAATGGAGTAATTGGGGCTTTTTTAATTATCAATTTATTTTTCCCATACATAAATTCAGTGCCCTCCTAGCAGCAGCATTAGTTTCTTTTTTTCATTAGCCTAGATAGGGGTAGGATTGTCACTAAGGAAGCTAGCAAGTGGGAGTTTATTATCTTATTGATGTCCATGCGCTACAAATTGCATGTGAAGCCATACAAACCTTAATTTTCCTGACATGGTTGTCATCGCCTGTCGAGTACCTGTTTTAAACATTTTTGGCCAAAAAAAAAAACATCTGTGAAATTTTGTTTGTGCTGCTGATTTTTTTATTTATTATTTTTTTATTATTCTCAAGCTAACATCATTATAAATTGAAACAAACTTCATTTTCGGTCAAAAGTTTAGACATTCTATTTATATTTAAACTAATGAATCTTTCGAGGATGGCACCAAGCCACTAAGTAATCATCTAAAACGTTGTTTTTAGGTTAATTTGTACAAACTCTCCTTTAACTATGTATAGTTTTTCTATTGACATCCCTTATTTATTTTTATTTTTTTCAACTCTTAAACTATAAATTATTTTGATTCACAATCCTTTTGCAGTATTTATTTTTACATAAAGTAGAACCCAAGTTGCATTTCTTTTGTTATAAAGTGTTCAAAATCATCTTAAATTGATCGAAAACATCCTCAAGAAATATACCTCTACTAATATAATTAATAAGAATATAATTTACAATAAATTAAAATAATCACCAGAAAATCAATCCTTAGCTTTTTAGTTACTTTTTAATGATTTTCAAAGAAAACACGAGGTTTACATTTGATATTTATAGGCTAAAAAGAACAAAATTGAACGAAAGAGTTGTGAATCAAAACATCTTATATTTTATGAACTAAAAAAAATCAAATATCAATCTAGAAAGCTTATAATTCAGGCATTGTTTGGACAACTTGCCTTATTAGTAAATATGTAAATATATATATATATATATTTTTTGTGGTGCACATTGTTTATTTGCTTGCTTATCAAATAAGAACTGAACAAAATTAACTAATAAAAAAAATTACTTCACATCAAAAGCTTTTCTATATATTAACTTAAAAAACATAAATATATTGGCACTAAGATCAATAATACGTCAAAAACCAAAGACAGTGTAAGCGGGTAGTAAATCCATTTCAGCCTCAAAGTTTTGGACTTGATTGGTAGTACGAATTATTCTTCATCACGTATAGCTTTAATTCTAACTCCTAAGGCCTAAAGACTCGATGGTTTTCTACTTTTCACATCATGCAGGCATGCACAAAATGATCGTTTAGTTCTGATGGAAAAGGATACCATTTTCCTTTTGTTGGATTTGAATCTAAAATATGATCCAAACATTTTGATATTAATGAATATTACTTAAACGTATTATAGAATTTAAAAAAATTAATTAAAGGTAAAGGCATGAAGTTATATTTGATTAAATAAAGAAGAGTTATGTTAATATAAGTGTTAATGAACTCATAAGTTATATGCAAATTAATACGTTACATAAATAGGAGTCAATTATTTATTTACTACCTAGGTTTTTGAATTTGATTATAACTTAATTTTTCATGTTTGAAAACCTATAGTTTAGTCTATTGATTCTTGTTGACAACCATTGTTTTATTAAAGCATTGTTAGTTTTTTTATTGACCATATACGTGTGTAAATGGGTTTAATGTCTATCTATGGAAAAAATCAGTCTTTTTTCTTTTTTTTTATGCAATTATGCAGATGCAAATGTTACATCATTGTTTTATTAAAGCTTTTTTTGTTTTAAAAACTAATTATTATTTTTTAATCGATGTTGAGGACCACATTTAACTTAATATCATTCTATTTTTTTTAAAAAAAATCATTTTTATTGACCATTCCATTTTTTTTTTACTTATTGTTTTCTATTTCTTAAAATAAAAAATTAAAAAAATAATTAAGTTACAAAAAAATTTAAAATATAAAGGTTAAATAATTATTTTTAAAATAAAAAAATTAATTAATTCATTTGTTTAAACTAGAAGGACTAATTTATTATTTACTCTTGCTTTCAAGAAAAACTGTTTTATTGATAATTTTCTCCATCATGGTAACTACTTATTTCTCAAGAAACAAACAAAAAGAATGATATATATCTTTTCAAGAATGAAAAAAGAATTTAAAGTCTAAATTTAGTTTTGCTCAAAGAGAACACTAAATAAATTATATTTCAAATAATAAAAGCTACTTGGTCCAATTGTGTTTGATCAATATGGCAATTAAGAGATCAATAGGTAATCCTAGAAATAAAACTATATTTAACTTTTTTATTTTCTATACTTAATTTTTTATTTTTTAACCCATATATTTATTAAAAAATAATATTAATATTAATTTCAGATCATATTATTATCAAAATCGAAATCAAATCGAGTTAAATTTATATTTAATTTATTTAATAAATGGGTTAATAGATTCAAATTAAGATACAATTTATCAACAACCTTAAGAAAGAGAATATATATATATATTCGCAACGGGTTTGTTATGAACCTCGGGCCTTTAGCTCCCATTTTGTTGGCTATGGGCTCAGCTTCTTCTTGAATGATTAGCTTTTCTTTTATGTGCACGAGAAATATAGCAATTGAAAAAGAAAATAATGCTAAATTCATTAACAGAATTGTTATTTTCATTATTTTGTAGATAATTATTAATATAGTTTTCATCAATTATAAATAACCATTATAGAATAAATATCTGTGGAGAATATATTGATAATTTTTTTGTAAAAAAGTTATGAGAATAGCAATTCTATTGATAAATTTAACGATATATATATAACGTCATAAAAATAAAAGCAAGAAGTAAAATGAAATGAAAATTCTAAAAAAAAAAAAATTGCCAACAGAAGGGGACGGAGCATTAAGTAAATAAATAATAAAAAAAGGATGGAGCGGGGGCATTCCAATTTTTAAATGCTAAGTTGCCAACAGAAAAGCCTATTTTGCTGCGGCATTTGTGGACGAATCAAAGGGCAGCAGGCAGCAGTTAGAAAAAAAATTATAATATACATTAATTATTTTTTGGATCCACTTTAAGAAGAGAGATAGATACATAATAAAAAAAAATTACATCTATATCCATTAAAAGTGATAAAAAGATTTTTACATCTATTCAAATTTTTTATTTTCTTTCTCTTGTTTCTCTCTCTCTCTTTTTATATATGTATCTCTTTTTTAAAAATAAACTTAAAAAATAATTATTATATATACTATTACTCTTTATGCATTATAAAATTTCTCGCATCCAGCAGACAGCAACGACAAAAAAGAAGGAAGTGACAAGGAAAGGCCACTGCCCATTTCGACGATGAGTTAATGCTTTCTTCCATTTATGTGTTCATTTTGTATTTAAAAAGAAAGACCTTCTATTATTTTTGTCTTAACTTCATCTTCCGGCTATATATTTTTATCATTATTACATCATTTTTTTTGTCAATTGGTTTTATCAACGGCATAAAAACTTGACATAAAATGAAATTTCACACCGATGTATACTTTGGTTTCTAAAAGTTTTGAAAATTTTAATTTAGTCCCTTTATTTTATGTTTCTTACAAATGAGTCCTTAAGTTATGTTTATTTGTCATCATATTTTACAATAAATATAATTTAGCACCTAAATAATTTTCTTTTTCAATCATGTCCATGTATATCAAATCATAAACTTGGTCAAAATTCATATGATAAATATATCATTTTTATAGAAAACAAAAATTCAAATAAAAATTATTAAGAAGTTCAAGGACTGGTCTATTATTTTGCGATGAAGTTCATTTTCAGATTTTTTGGACATATGCCAACATGTTGTGATTTTATTGTATGAGGATAAATTGATTGGTCAGTGCATAGGGTCAGAGAGTTACATTGATAAATTTGGTTTTGTAAGAATTTTTTTTCTTTTTAATTTTGGTTTTGTACATATTGAATTATTGTTGTTATGTTATTAAATAAATAATATATCTAAAAATATGATACAAAATTCAAAATCAAAATAAAAACACTTCATATATCTAAGATAATATGAGAATTTCAACAAAATTTACTATTTAACACATAGATAATTAATTGAAAAAAAATCATTTAAGGATTAAATTATATTTATTATAAATTATGGTGACCAAAAAAATTTTGATTAAAGAATTATTTTGTAAAAAATAAAATGAAAGGACCATAGTAAATTTTTCATAAAATTTTAGGGACCAAAATATACATTAGCGAAAATTTTATGTTGACATGTGTTACTTTTTAACAAAGTTAATAATGCAGACTGTCGAATTTGTTTAATAATAATGGAAATATCATAAACAAATAATATTCAAATAAAACATAGTAGTGAGATTTTTAAACATTAAAGAAGAGTATATATATATATATATATATATATATATATATATAAAGCATTAACCTTTTGATTAAATACAATAGAGTTGTACTAGTTTTTTTACTCGCGAGTGTAAAATATATAAAATCATTTACAAAAATCATTTCAGTTTGATAATCTATTTTATGGTGTGAATCTATAAAAATATATGAAATCAAAATTGAAAAAAAAAATCATTTATAATTTTTTAAAAATTTTGTATCTAACTATTTTTTATTTGTGTTTTTCATACTTTTTTCTTTAGAAAAAGAATTTATCCTTGTTAATCCATGGATTATTAACTAAAAAGAAAATTAAATAATTTTTTAAAAAAACTTTAGTATTTCATAAAACTTTTTCAAAAAACATAAATAATAATTATTAAAAGCTTACATAGAATTGAACAAATAATTTTTTTATTTAATGTTGATGAGAATATCATTTTAAAAAAAACGAATTTAATTTTTATATATTTATTTACAAAAGAATGAACAATATTAAAATAAAAAACTATATTACTTTGAATTATAGAGTGTTTAAGCCAAAACATTATTTTAATTATTTAATTTAAAATAAGTTAATTTTAAAATATTTAAAAATAAATAAATAAATAATGCTTAGTGTAGAGTAGTTGCATAGTTAATTTTTTTTAAAAAAAAAACAATGATTCAATATTTTTTTATACATCATAACTATACTAAGTGAATTTAGAGTTTTCGAGTCTAAACCAAAAATACTATATATAAAAAAAAGAGTTAAATTGCAAGGAATCTATTGACTAAATTTGAAGTTAATAGACTTAAATAAAATTATTACAAATTTAATTTTCATTATATAAAGAAGAAGAAAATTAATAAAACATGTGAATTATTTTTCTTTTTTTTCCTCTATCTTAAATCTTTCTTTTTTTAATTTTCATGTTATGCATGGTTGTTCCTTGAATAGAGGCCTCACAAGTAGAGCAAATATCTTCTTTTTATTTTTCACATTTGACTTTCAATTATTAATTAATTAATTTGAGTTTTTTCAAAAACAATTGAGAAAAAAATATTTGAAATACACTTTTAATTTAAAAATGTATCTTAGATAAATTATATATATTAATCATGCCACTATAATTTAAAAGTTATTTAAATCTATTTTTCAAAAGAAAAAATTATCATATTCTAAAAACTTATTCCAAAATCCATACATATAGAGATATAAATCAAAATTATCAATAACTATAATTTTAAATTAATTGGATGAGAATTTAAAAAAAAATTACAAATTAAAGTAGTTAAATTTAAATAATAAAAATAATTGAAAAAAACATTAAAAGAAAATAGGACCAAATCACAATATAATCAAAGTTTGAAATTGAAAAAAAGAATTTAAAAGAAACGAAAAATTAATATAGTAAATTTTAAATAATAAAAAATTATTCAAAAAAAACTTTTAATCTAAAAATGTATTTCAGACAAATTATAAATATATTAATCATGATTTAAAAATTATCTAAATCTATTTTTCAAAATAATAATAATCATGTTCTAAAAATTTATTCCAAAATCCATACATATAGAAAAATAAACCAAAACAATCAATAAATATAATTTTAAATTAATTAGATGAGAATTAAAAAAACAAAAAATTAAAGTAGTAAATTTTAATAATAAAAATAATTAAAAAAAATACTAAAACAAAATGGGAGCAAATCACAATATAATCAAAGTTTGAAATTAAAAAAAAAAAAACAAAGAGAGAATTTAAAATAATGAAAAATTAATGTAGTAAATTTTAAATAATAAAAAAATAGAGAAACAATTATTAGGAATATACCTTTAATCTAAACATGTATTTCAGAAAAATTATATATATTAATCATGCTATAATAATTTAAAAATTATCTAAATCTATTTTTCAAAAGAAAAATTAATCATATTCTAAAATCCACACATATAGAAAAATAAATCAAAACTATTAGTAAGTATAATTTCAAATTAATTGAATTAGAATTTAAAAAAAATGATAAATTAAAGTAGTAAATTTTAAATAATAAAAATATTTTAAAAAAATACTAAAATAAAATGGGACCAAATCACAATATAATTAGAGTTTGAAATTGAAAAAAAAAAAAGAGAGAGAAATTTTTAAAAATAATAAATTAAAGTTGTAAATCTTAAATAATAAAAATAATTAACAAATTAAAGTTTGAAATTGAAAAAAAAAGAGTTTAAAAAAATAACAAATTAAAGTAGCAAATTTTAAATAATATAAATAATTAAAAAAACACCGAAATAAAATTGAACCAAATCACAATACAATTAAAGTTTGAAATTGAAAAAAATATAAAAAAATATCGAGAACCAAAAGGTTATAAAAATGACATGAATAATGAAAGGAATAGTGATTTTTTAAGTGCATAAATAATATTTCAAACAGTAATATGAATAATAAAACCATATTTTATTTTAGTTTATTTAGTAATGTCTGCACTTGCATTCCACTTCCCCACCTTCATTCTTTTTCTCTCTCCTTTTCTATTTGTGTTTTTCTACTTTTTTTTTATGGAATTTGTACGACGCTCCTTTCCTTCTTTTTTTTTTTTTTTTTTTGTGAAAAACTGAATTTTTTGCTTAACCATGCTTACAATTTTGATTTATATACAGTTTCCTCAACCAATAATGCAACTTTAATGCACAGATCAGGGTAATTGTTAATTAATAATTGCACATTTGGTATGATATTATATAATGAAAAAAATATAATGGAGAACATGATATGATTCGTTTTATTCTTTTGTTTGATTGCAAAATTTTTTAATGATGTAAGGAGACTTTCAAAATGTTTCATTTCTAGTTTTTGTAATTGTTGAAATATTTGTTTTAGTTCCTACATATATATATATATATATATATATATATTGGTACTTATTTGGATTTTTTTATCCTTGTGTTTTCATAAAATAAACTTTAATTCTTGTAATAATTTTTTTACAATCAAATCCTTATATGATTACCTTTTAATCCTATAAGGGTTCATTATTTAGTTTATTTTCTTTATATAATGCTTGTAAAATAATGAGCTATTATAATTGTAAACGTCTATTATGTTATAATTTTAAGAATTATATAACGAAACATAGAAATATAACCTATGATTACAGAACCTAGTTCATTACATCTCACATCTCACGAAAACATGGTGTGAGATTGGAAATTCCCCCAGCATAAACTTAATTTTTTTTAGGGATGCATTTGACTGCATGCCTATTGGTACTATAGATGCAAATCCTAGTTACAAAAACACACAAGCTTACTTTATGATAGATGGCTTTCTTTAGCTAGTTCGGATGTAGATTGTATATCTAAAAATATTATTTATCACATAAGAGAATTAGATTGAATAAAAAAAGTTTTAGTCATTTAAGTAAGTGATCTTAAATTTGAATCCTTATACATACAAAAAAAACTTTTTAGATAACTATATCCGTTTTATGCATCCGACATAATAACAAAAGATTAATTTAAAATTTTAAGTTTGAGATATCTAATGAATTCAAAAAAAATGAATTAAAAAAAAAAAAGTATTTAGCCAAGGATTGTCGTTGAAGGGATTTAAGACATAAGACTTGATTTATCTTCATTGGTATCCATATGGTACGATTTATTGGGAGCAGTAGAATTTTGGAGTGCTCAATTCCAAGTGATGCCCTAGCTAAAGAGAGCAGCGCACTCCTGCCATGGGTGTTGAGTTAGATGAAATAGGAACATATGACCAATTGCCTACGATACACTACGAGTTCAGTGAAACAAAATCATTTTAAAATTTAAAATTTTTTTAATTATAATTTTTTATTTAATTTATTTTTTAATATTTTTTATAAATTTTTGTTTTAAAAAATATAAATCATTCTTCTTTATGGATTGATTTAAAAAAAAACTAATAATAATTTTAACTAAAATATAAATCAAGAATTAAAAAAATTAAAAAATATAATTTTCATAATATTTTATTTCAAAAATATAAAGTTATAATTAACGGACAAACTTTTACAAAAATTAACAAATGAAAAAAAATTCTTATTTAATGCTAATGAGAAGATTAATTTTTGAAATTATCCGCGCAACGCTATAGGTAGAAAGAACAAAATCATTTCAAAACGTCATAATTTTTTCATTAATTTTTTATTTCATTATAACTATTTTTTTGTGTGTTTTTCGTAAAATCTCTACTCAAAAAACATGATTTATTCTTCTTTATTTATGAATTTTTAAATAAAAACTTGTAATAATTTAAACCCGAAATATTAATTAAGAATTCAAAAACAAATACTTTAAAAATATATATATATTTTTAATAAGAATGTATCCAAAAAATAAAGTTACAATTAATATATAGATTTGCATAAAAATTAACCAATGAAAAAATAAAATTTCATTCTTATTTATGTTGGTGAGAAGATTTTTTTTTTCAAGTATATGCATTGATCTATATATATTTACTTACAAAACAATCGATAAAATTGGCATAAAAAAGTACATTTGAATAATTGGTTGGTTTCTTTAAAAAATTATTTTAATTATTTTATTTCAAATAAATTGGTTCTATAATGTTAAAAAAATATTTATAGTAAATAATTTGAATTATGTTGAAAGATGTATAGTTAATTTTTAATATAAAAATAAGAATAAAAATTAACTTGATGTGAATTTTTATAATCAATTGAAAATATTAATTTTAAACAATAAGAATAGTATATATTTATTCTAAAATCTAAAAACATATCGTATATATTATATAATCATCAGTTTATGTGAAAATAAATAACGATTAATTTTTCAAAATTTTAACACCTAGTTAAATAAAAAAATAAATTGATGGAAAAAATCAAAGGAAAAAAACCAAAAACAAAACATGTGTAGTGCATCGGCTAAGATGTTAAATTTTTTATTTTAAAGTTCTAGGAACCAAAATGAAACAATTTAAAAATTACAAAAAAAAAAAAAAGGATGAATAGTATTTTGTGAGGGGGTGAACAATGAAACTCACAATTCAAACACCCCACTTCTTTTAGTTATATAGTAATAGTAATTAGTTACTTGCATTTATTTTGATTGCCCAAAGAGTTCATGTCTAGTGGGATAAATTTAGGGATGACAATTTCACATAATTTACTGGATAATCACCATGACTCTATCCCGTTGAATCGGGTTTTTATCCGATTTGATTAGGATTAAAGTGGGTCAAATGAAAAATCAATTCAATTTCACTTAAGTTAGGTGCGGATGAAGGGTTCACCTACCCCATCACATTAGGGTTGAGCATTCGGTTAAACATAATCTGGTTTGGTTTTCGATTAACCGAAGTAGGAAAAATAAAACCGAAACCAAACCAAAATTAATTCGATTAATTCAGTTTGTAACCAAATTATTTCGGTTTGGTTTTGAAATAATTCAATTTAACCAAACTTTTTCATTACTTCTCCATTTCGTACTTTAGACAGTTCTCCCAAAACTTTCATTTATGTTTTCTTTCCCTAAGCCGAGTAATTAGCAATGCCGAGCTAACAAATAACCACTTTTTTTCTAAAAAGGATTAAACACCCAAAAAACAATTCACAATTAAAGTCAAATTTAAACACCCAACATGTTTAACATTCATATATCGGAAAAGAAAATAAGTAATGCAAAACAATTATTGATGAAACAATGTTCCAGTATACAATACAATCAACATTAAACAACAAAAGCATGGTAGAATGTCCGTTCTCATTTCTCAACAAAGAGGACGAGACATGAGCTCTCTTCCCGTCCTAAAACAAATGATTTCTGTGCATTTGCAATACCTTCGCTCCTTCAAGATCTGCAATAGAATGAAATCCCAACAAACACTCAATGCTCTTGAAAGAGGATATTAACATGCTATAAAAATCAAATGCGAGCGAGCCTATCGCCCACCGTCGATAGGCGGGAGACACCAAGCGCGAAGCCTACGCCCACGGCCAGCAGGCCTATCGCCGGTGGGCACGAGGCACCGAGGCGGTAGGCTACCGCCTACTATGGTTCTCTTCTCTAGTTCAATAAAAATGAAAAATTACGGTTCCCACTTACTAACTAAACTTGCACAAACAACGTAAATAAAAAATCAAACTTAGAAAGTAAAACCTTAGTAACTTACACATACCATTTATCACGCTAAAACACCATCAAGTCATCAACCCATCAAGATTCAACCATTTGTAATAGAGGTAATGGCAAGCGGTAACTCTGAAAATTTTAAGATAAAAAAAATTAAACTTTTAACATTAACATAGAGGAAAGAAATAGCAAATGAAAAGGTAAGAGTTATAGAAATTACCATCTTGTATTTTCTCAACATCTTATAAATTTTCTTCAATAATAATTGGTGTCGATGAATTTTTAATCCAATATTGAGCACATATAAGAGATTCCACTAAGCTAGGAGTCAAACAACTCCTAAAGTAGTCAAGAACCTTTCCTTCGATGCTAAATGTCGATTCCGAGGAAATAGTAGAAACGAGAACCGCCAATATATCCCTAGCCATTTGTGAAAGGATGGGAAACCGAGGAGAATTGGTTTTTCACCATTCCGAAATATTAAAATTAGCACTCGTTATTTTCAGCACCTTCACTAAGATATTTATCCAACTCCGTTTTATTTCCTCTACCTCCAATATCACACTTGTATTTTTCAAAACGCATCATTATCTTCCTTTTTAGTCTAATTTCTTCTTCATCAATCATTTCTTCATTTGCACAACCCACATCTATTTCTCGACTCCCACTACCTTGGCCAATTTCACCTGGAGATGTTGACGAATGACAGTAGAAATCATACATAGCATACATAGATTCCTTGACAATATTTGACATTCTTTGACCCTCTAAATCACCATACAATTCATCGATTGAAAATTCAATAAATACAAGTTTATGCCTAGGATCAAGTATTGTCGCAATATAAATCAACTTATTCATTTTCTTAATATCCCCCCAATACTTCTCAAACTTTCCTTTCATTTTATTGGCTAATGTAAAATCATTTAAATCTCTACTTCGTTGTCATTTTTTTAAAACATGTTCGAGAGCATAAATCTCTTCAAAATAAATATTTGAAGTCACATACAAAGAACCCGAAATACGTAAAGTGAGATTGTAAAAAAATTTTAACATGCCCACTAACTTCTTATAAGACTTCCAATCATCAACATTAGGTGCCCCAACAACATTATCACCATGATCTACATCAAATTCACTTCTATATAAAAGATCAATTTGCTCATATCTCTTAAAAGCTCTCTCAAAATTTAGAGCTAACTCTAACATCAAGTATGTTGAATTCTACCTAGTAGCAACATCTAATTGTAAAAACTCCTATAATCAATTTTCTCAAGTTGAATGCATTCCTTAAATCTTTTCAACCTAGGCTGAAGATTGCCTCATAAACCTAACGACCGATCGAATACGAATGATTGAATGATTAAAATGTTTTAACCCA